TGGCTTGGAGGTCATGTGACTAGGTGGGCGTGGCTAGCTGGTCAGAGTCATTTCTGGAAGGTCCTCGCAGTTATGACCAGTCCTCGCACTTTCGACCCAACTCATTTGTTTGCTTTTAACACTGATCAGCTGTAGGACGGCCCTTTGAAGCTCCGCGGCAAGAGTTTAAATAGTTTTTCTCCCTCTAGTCATCAATTGGGACTCAGGAGGCAGCAGTAGATTGGGGGTGGGACCAAATAAAAGGTAAGAATAACATGGGGGGGTAGGGGGGTGGGAGGGCGAGGGGAGAGAACCGGTTCAGTGACGTCATATCGTCACCGCTACTGGCTCGGCCAAACCGGACCGAACCGGGAGGAACCCACCACTGCTATGAACATTATTCCAAACCACAAATGACTTCTGAGGCTTTTTCTGGACCTGCTTTCCAACGGGGAGGCCAATATCCCCAACTATAGGTGGGGAAGGCAGAGGAATACAGTGGCTGTTCTGGAAGGGGCTGAGACTGGCCTCTCCATCCAGATTTCAACCATGTTGAGCACCTACAAAATCCCTCAGGTATGTCTTTGCTGAGAAGAAAATTTTTAATTCTGCAACATTCAAGCAAAAACCATCTGTTGTAAATTTATCTATTTTATTTATTTATTTATTTATTTATTTTATTTTATTTTATTTTATTTATTTATTCATTTATTGTCACATGTAAATGACTAACCCTGTGATTGATTGATGTATATATCAAAAGGATGTAAATATTAATTCCCTTTTCCAATAACCATCCCCTCATAACTGCTCCTTATCTTTGCTCCGCCTCCTTAGTATATAAGCCCCATCCCGCTCCTTCATCCCTGTGCTCTCTCTCCTGTCATGATACCTGTTAAGATGTTTAATAGAAACAGTAAATATATTTATTAGAAAAGGAATGACTTCTATGAGTTATTGGGCTTGATCCTTGAATCTACGTAACAAATTGGTAGCAGAGGTCGGTTTTATGCCCATAACTCTGAAACATGACTGAAAGCAAAAAGAGAATGAATATCAGAGAATATTCAAAATTAATGGCAGCGCAACTGTCACCACCGGAAGCAATCCCAGAGGGAACAACAAACGAAAGAAAACCAGCACTAAATTCCAAAATTACGCCAGAAAACAATGACAGGAGAATCGAAGAAAAGACAGATGCCACAGCAGATTCAAACAAACTGAGAAAAAACATATTGAAAATGCTAAACTCACCTACCCACAACAAAGAACTCATCAAAAACCTTGGACAACTAATTAAACAACACGAAGCCGCAGATGGAGCTCAAAAATTGAACATGAAGGCCACAGAAACCAGCCTGGTGGGAGACGACCCAAACAACAATGGCCAGTATGAAACTGGCGGGAAAATTTTGGTGCCCATTTTCGAACGGTGGCCATCTTTAGTCGAACAAACAACAAAGATGGCCGATCGTATACTAAGGGATGACCCGAATCCAAAATGGCCGACACAGACTCAAACCTATTTAAAAATAAAAGAAATAAAAACAATACCCCACTCACAAAATCAACCCACCGAAGCCGAAATAGATAACGCTATTAAAACTCTCACCCCAGCTTTTGGATCGGAAATAAAATTACCACTACATTACCCTAACGCACTAAAAATGTCTGAAGAAATTACAGATATTGAAGAAAAAATAAACAAACACTACACAAAGGGCGCAGACATTACCACATAAAAACCGCTGACACTATTCAATCCGGACACTAACTACAGCCTTCCACCGCTAACGCAATCCCCAATACCGAAGGACTGTGAAAAATACTTACCATCACAACGACATCGCCCGATTGACCAGGACATCTACCCAGACGATCCATCGATGATCCAGAGGATGACTCGATTCCCAGCTGACCATGACCGGCACCCCAAGACTGAACATGGGCCTCATCCAGTCGAGGTAGGCCCACGCCCAGGAGCAGCAGCAACAGGAACCTCTCTTGACAACTTCAGAATAAAAATGAACTTCGCACATGCACAGAATGACCTAAAGGAAAGAGAAGAAAAAAAAGTTCAAGCCTGTCTTTTTAAATTGCCTGCAAGTATTCCATTACCATACTGCTGCTTTCCTATGATTCAGAACCATGGACAGCCACTCTCAGTAAGTAACACCTCACACATCTCAGGGGCTTTACCCATCAACTTCCCTATTTTAAAATTAGATGGAACCAATTTGCAAGAATGGAATCAACAACTCCAAGTCACTTTTCTGAGAGAAAACTTACTTTTCATGATTACTGACCCTCCAAAAAAACCTTGGACACTTGAATTGGACTGCCTACATCACAAAGCATTTTACCTACTAATAGCTAGTATTTCCCCCAGTATTTACCCTAATATTAACCATTATTTAATTGTACCAGAACTAATACAATGTATGTTTGACCTATTCTACAGCAAAAATGTGGTAACAACAACTCGAATCTCTAGAAATTTCCATTCTGCTAGACTTAGAGCAGGGACTTCAACGAGCGAACACATATTGAATTTAAAGTCTACCAGGGCAGATTTACTACAGAGAGGAGAAATTATAACAGAAGAAAGCATGAAGAGCATTATTATAAATTCACTAGACCCTAGTTGGGATAATTTCATAGCTCAACTAGACAGTATTACAATAGGGCATCTATCAATAGAGACACTAACGAACAAATTAATTGCCGAAGATAATTTAAGAAAAGATAGATCACTACACCACAGAGATAGTAGAATTATTAAAAGGATAGAATTCCATAGCAGAGATAGGGACATGCCTGAATGCTACATATGTGGCTACAAGAGTCATTACAAAAGAGATTGTCCAAAAAACGTTAGAGGAAGAGATCATTACCAAAATAGAGACAGACAAGAAAATAGACATAGACACTCAGATTACAGATACAGACAAAATGACTCTCCCATACCAAGGGATAAGAGAAAATACAGAGATAATTCCAAAAAAAAATCAGTCAGGAACTCTTTATGGGCTAGGGAATCAGAAATTCTACATCAATCCAATAAAAAAGGAGAATCCTTGGCTTATAGATTCAGGAGCCACTAATCACACTACTTATGACAGGAGATTGCTCACATCTTTTACAAAAGAAAACTTTATAATTAAAGTAGCCAATCAAAATAATGTTTTGGTAACTGGGAAAGGAAACATACATATACATGGGATAGGTGAAATAGAGGGGGTACTTCTTGTCCCCAAAATACCCCATAACATACTTGCAGCATTGAAGATGAGCAGGGATTTAGGCATAGAAATCACCATTAAAGAAGGGAAGGTATACATGACAAAAGACAAAGTAGACATAAAGGGAATTACAATTAGCAGAAACCTATCATATCTTGACACAGAAAGCCACAATCAATCTAGCATTAACTCATTGGCTCATCAGAACCCGCTATTTCCCGACTGCCTTGCCTCGATGCTAAACCAGAAGGCTCTAAGCACACACAACTTCTGATTCCACTGATTAATTGTCCTCACTGTTAGGAACTTTCTGCTTAATTTCAGGTTGCTTCTCTCCTTGATTAGTTTCCACCCATTGTTTCTTGACTTGACTTTTGATGTTTTGGAAAATAAGTTGACCCTCTCCTCTTTGTGGCAGTCCCTCAAATACTGAAAGATTGCTATCATGTTCCCTCTAGTCCTTCTTTTCCCTAAACAGTCTCAGAGATCTGGAGGTCAAAAAGCCCCATCACCATAGAGTGCATCCACACAACCAGAAGAAGGGAAATCATGTCTCTTCAAACCAGGGGTGGGCTTCAAAAATTTTAGCAAGGTTTCTCTGCCTGGTTGCTGAGTGGGCATGGCCACGGTGGGCATGGCCTAGTAGGCCTCCTGCACCATGGCTGGGGGGGGTGTTTTTGCCCTCCCTGGGCTCTGGAGGCTTTTCTCGGGCCTCCAGGAGGGCGAAAACAGCCTCCCCCGGGTCTCGAGGCCCTCTGGAGGCTAGAAACGGGCCCGTTTCCAGCCTTCCCAAAATTCCGGTAGGCCCATTTGTAGGCCCGAGTGTGTGCCCTACACTTACCTGCATCCAAAACGGGCTATGTGGGGACTCCTGGGAGGGGTGGGGTGGGCTGGACCAGCCAGGTGTGGGATTTGGAGGTTCTCTGAACTGCATAGAATCATAGCTAGAGGTTCTCCCAAACCCCTGCGAACCCCCATCAGCCCACCCCTGCTTCAAACCAGTTTTTTGGTGGGCATGGCAACGAATTGATGTCAAGAAAAAAAATCTATTCACCCTCAATCTTTCTCCGAGGGATGAAATGCTACTGGTTCCCTCCGGATCTGGTGAACCAGTAGTGATAAAAATTACCAGTTCAGGTGAACCAATAGTAAAAAAGTGCTTGAAAAAGTAAAAAAAAAAATATGTTGGCCATGCCCACCCAGTCACATAACCCCCCACAAAGCCTTACCCACAAAGCCACGCACACAGAACCGGTAGCAAAAACATTTACATTTCACCATTTCTTTCTCCATATTAAAATTTAAAAACATTCCATGTTTTCAACCTAGAGTGGCACCAAACTCCATAGCTCTGGGTGATTGTACCTAGCAGCCCCTGGAGAAAAGAAACCATGTTGAAGAGCAACAGAAGTCAACAACAACACTGTGTCTTCCTCCAGCATCATTTTCTGGACGCGTCCTGACAGGAAAGACCACAACCGATAGAGAACCCTGCCCTCAGGGGCGTATCTGTAATTTTTCACTAACATGCTGTACTCTGGCTTCTTTTCTGCAAATGGAGCCAAGGAAGGAGTTCATCATCCCCAGAGGAAAAGTTGCTTCCCACTGTAATTATCACCATCCTGCTCTTTGAGATGTCTTCTACTTCTCCAGTAACTGATGTAAACAGCAGACTGAAGCAACATGGAGGGAGGTTGCCTCAAGGAAAGGATAAAGGCTTTAGGTCACACTCTGTGTTATCTGAATTTTAGGACAGGTAGGGGCTATGCTGTTAAATGTACCTTTCTCTCTTTTCCAGGTGAAACTTGGTTTGTCTCTGTCTGAATCAGGAAAGTCACTGGCTTTTATGAGAGGGCTTTTAATTCTTCCTGTTCTTGTTAAGAAACAGGAAAGTAACTGATTCAGCCCTACGAATGATGGCCCTCCTGCTTCTGCTTTTGATGCTGCTGTTGTCCCAGCCTGTCTCGGGAAAGCTGATAACGAAATGCCCGCTGAGTTTAGAGCACCAGGGTGCGAAGAAACCATGGAGTTATTACAGACCAGGAGACCATTTCATTAACATAATCATCGCTACATCAAAACTGGTGCATATAACTCTCCCTTTCAATGCAGAGCCTTCTAATCAGTTTCACTCGTAAGTCATCCAGGATAATACAGTTGCATACCCTCCATTTATAATTCAAACACTCTCATTTTGTTCTCCTTATTCCACTGGCTCCTATATTACAGCACATGTCCTATCTACTTTCCTGAATCATGTTGATTTCCATGCTTTCTTTGTCTTATTTTGAGGAAAGGACTCAAGTCCAAAGATGGGACAGAAAAAAAGTCCACATTATTTTCCTCTCCCCGATCAGTCTTGAATTCGTGATTTGAATACTGTGCTGACTTTTGTTTAAATTAGTGATTATTGTGGTTTCTTCCTGCCCAGCTCATTTCAAATACAACTACTCATTGATATTTACTTCCCGATTCTTATAGAAATACAGGATGACTTATTTTTTACAATTGATTTCTGAGTCATTTTGAAACATCCTCTTCCTTCTATGGTGATTCCACTTTAATCATTCATTTATTTCGGACCTTGGTTACTGGCCAGATGAAAATTAGTATTGTTACAAATAATGGTGCATTTGCGATTCTTAACCCAGGAGGGGACCTGTATCAATTCCATCTCCCCAACATTCATTAAAATTAAATGGAGATGGGTGAGTATCATTTGGCTCCGGGTTTGGAGTCAGTGTTGGCTTAAGATTCTGTAGGCTTCAAGAGACAAAGTGGATTAGATTGAAAAACAAATATGTTGTTGGTTCTGTTGATGATGATAGAGTAGAGTAGAGTAGAGTAGAGTAGAGTAGAGTAGAGTAGAGTAGAGTAGAGTAGAGCAGAGTAGAGTAGAATAGAATTCTTTATTGGCCAAGTGTGATTGGGATGGCATTTGAGAAAAAACTGTTCTTGTGTCTAGTTGTTCTGTTGTGCAGTGCTCTATAGCGTTGTTTTGAGTGTAGGAGTTGAAATAGTTGATATCCAGGATGTGAGGGGTCTGTAACTTTTTTCACAGCCCTCTTTTTGACTCGTGCAGTATACAGGTTCTCAATGGAAGGCAGGTTGGTAGCCATGGTTTTTTCTGCACTTCTAATTATCCTCTGAAGTCTGTGTTTGTCTCATTGGGTTGCAGAACCAAACCAGACAGTTATAGAGGTGCAGGTGACAGACTCAATAATTCCTTTATAGAACTGGATCAGCAGCTCCTTGGGCAGTTTGAGCTTTCTGAGTTAGCAAAGAAAGATCATTCTTTGTTCTACTTTTTTGATGATGTTTTTGATGTTGGGTGTCCATAGCAATAGCACTTAGACTTATATACCACTTCACGGTGCTTTTACAGCCCTCTCTAAGCGGTTTACAGAGTTGGCAGATTGCCCCCAACAATCTGGCTCCTCATTTTACCGACCTTGGAAGGATGGAAGGCTGAGCCAACCCTAAGCCAGTGAGACCCGAACTGCCAAACTGCTGGCAGCTGGTGAACAGCAGAAGTGATGATAATAATGTGGTCATTTTTACAGGACTTTATCTATTGCTCATTCAGAAGTGCAATGCTTCATTTTCACTAGTCAAGCAAAGATATATTAAAAAATATAAAATATGTTTTAAGATTTATGATGGTGGTGGTGATGATGATAAAATGAACATTTTTTACACTAGAATATCCTCTGATCAGTCTAGAATCCTACGCCATATTTTCGCTATTCAAATGGTCAGTAAGAATTCCCCGCTCCTGCACAATCTCACACTTGGCTACAACATCCATGACAACTATTTCAGCACGCTTGGCACATCAGATGCCTTGCTGGACATCCTCTCTACAGGAGAAGCCAATGTTCCCAACTACAGCTGTGGAAAGAAGGACAACCATTTGGCTCTTTTTGATCGAACTGACAGGGACATCTCCATCCAGATATCAACATTAATAGCCCCCTACAAAATCCCACAGGTTTGTATGTGTGCCTCTCTATCTAATAAATTGGGTGGATTGGTAGGATGGGTAAGTGATAAATCCAACTATATCTCCTCTGTGGAATTCAATCAATCAATCAATCAGAATAGAGCTGGAAGGGTCCAATCCCCTTCTCAAGCAGGAGACCCTACAACATTTCAGACAACTGGATGTCCAGTCTCTTCTTTAAAATCTCCGGTGAGATTTTTAAGATTTCCAGAAGCCTCCACAACTTCTGAAAGCAGTTCCGCTGGTTAATTGTTTTCACTGTTAGGAAGTTTCTCCTAAATATCAGGTTGCTTCTCTCTTTGATTAGTTTCTATCTATTGTTTCTTGCTTTGCCTTCTGGTGCTTTGGAAAATAAGTTGGACCCCACTTCTTTGTAGCAACTTCTCAAATACTGGAACACTGTTATCATGTCAGCCCTACTCCTTCTTTTCTCTAGACTAGCCATACCCAAATCCTGCCACCGTTCATAAAACTGTATGTTTTAGTCTGTAGGTCTTTATTCACCTTAGTTGCTCTTCTCTGCATTTTTTCCAAAGTCTCAACATCTTTTTTGTAACAAAACTGGATGCAGTATTCTAGGTGTGGCCTTACTAAGGATTTGTAAGACTTTACCAATACGTCATGTGAATTCAAGAGCTGGTTTTCTCCATGGCCACTCTAGGTGTGTTGTCTAGGGATGGGATTGATATTGTGTGTGTGTGTGTGTGTAGCACCCAAGCAGCCATATAATTTCATGACAACATCCCCATTGCTTTGGGGGCTTCTCCTGCACACTTGTGAAGATGAGGAGGGGCTTTGTGTCCAAACAAAGGGTCTTCTGACTGATAGTTGGTGTTCATGGATCCCTTCCGCTAGTCTTCTGCCTGTTTGTGCTACATAGCGGCTGTTACAGTCCTTAAATTGTATGTTGCAGATGACTCCTGGTTTTTTCTTCTGGGGCTGCTGCATCTTTTGGTTTACTTAGGATATTTTGCAGGGCTTTACATGGTTTGTGCGCTACAGTGATGCCATGTGGTTTAATAGTTTTTGGGGGGTTCTTATTTCAGCTTAGCCAAAATGATATTTTCTTTTTTTTTTAATTGAAAAAGTTTTACAAATACATTTTCTCCCCAGTTTCACCCCTCTAACCCTCCCAACCCCCACCCCAACACTCCCCTCCCCCCCGGACTTCCACAGAGTATAATCCAAATCGAAGACATATTTTATAAAACTTGAACCCCTCCACCCACTATATATTCTTCACATTTTCACAATCCAAGTATTTCCTAGTTTGATATTTATTCTGCACATAATCTATCCACTTTTTCCACTCCCTTACATAAGTCTCTTGTTTTCGATCTTTTAGATATGCTGAAATCTTCGCCATCTCTGCAAAACCAGCCATCTTCAAAGTCCATTTTCAATAGTGGGCATAGCATCATTTTTCCAATATTGACCTATCAGTAATCTCGCTGCTGTAATCATATACAATATCAACTTTGTTTCACCCAATGTAAAACCCTTAACTATACCCAATAAAAACAATTGTGGAGAAAACTGAATTTTTTTCTTCAAAACATTCTGCATAACCCACCAAATTTTTATCCAAAAAGCCTTCACTTTCTTACAAGTCCACCACACATGATAATATGTGGCATCTAGGCAGTCACATCTCCAGCATTTTGGTTGAACATTAGGGTACATGCACAACAATTTCTTAGGATCTAAATGCCATCTATAAAACATTTTATAAAAATTTTCCCTCAAATTCTGCGACTGTGTGAATTTAACATTCTGAACCCAAATTTTTTCCCATGTTTCCAACATCACTGGTTCTGCAAAATTTTGTGCCCACTTAATCATACAATCTTTAACCAGTTCAGTTTCTGAGTCCCTTTCTAACAAAACATTATAAAGCCTTTTAATATGCATTGGACCTTTCTCTTTTATATGTCTAACCAATTCCTCCTCATGCATCATTATACCAGTTTTTTGGTCCTCTTTCCACCTCAATTGAAGTTGATTATACTGTAACCAAGTTAGATTAATCCCTTCATCCAACAGTGTTTCTAATGTCTTCAGTTGCCATCTGCCCGCATCTGTAAAAAGAACTTCTTTATATAAACCCCCCCCCCCGAGTGACATTATATTTGTATTCCACATGATATGACCAAGATCCAGCCATAGAGGTATTTTGTAATCCCATTTGAGTCGGTGCTTCTTCCAAACTCTCATCAAAGAGTCTCTAAGTATATGGCTTTTAAATACTTTATCCACTTTGTTTTCATAAAATAAGTAAGCATGCCAACCAAATTCAAGATCAAAGCTTTCTATATTCAATATTCCAGTCTTTTTCCTTCCAAACCAATCACTTGCTTGAGTCAAAGCTGCTGCTTCATAATATAATTGTAGGTTTGGAAGTTTAAGACCTCCCCTTTCTGGAACATCTTGCATAATTTTCAGTTTCACTCTCGGTTTTTTCTCGTTCCAGACAAACTTATTCAGTCCACTTTGCCATTCTTTCAATTGTTTATCACTTTTAAGCACCGGGATCATTTGAAACAAAAAAAGAAATCTTGGCAAAATGTTCATTTTAACTGCTGCTATTCTTCCAAGTAAAGACAGCTGCAGTTTTTTCCAAGTCTCCATATCTTTCTGTACATCTCGCCACAACACCTCATAATTATTTTGAAACAATTTCATATTTGATTCTGCAACCTGAACTCCTAGATATTTAACCTTTGGTACAATCTCAAAACCTGCCCTCCTTTCAAGTTCGTGTTTTCGATCTTGTGTCATATTTTTAACTATCATCTTAGTTTTTTTCTGGTTCAGTCTAAATCCTGATACTGTACCATAGTCTTTTATAATGTCTTTCATCTGGATTATTGATTCCATCGGCTGTGATAGGGTAACAACCAGATCGTCTGCAAATGCCCTTGTTCTGTAGTCCTCTTGCCTTATCACTATTCCTTTCAAGGTACTCGAGTCCCGTATTGTATTCAACAAGACTTCTAGTGTTAAAATAAATAACAATGGGGATAACGGACAACCTTGTCTTGTTCCTTTCTCAATATTAAAATCTGTTGTCAAACTTCCATTAATAATAATCTGTGCCTTTTGTTCTTGATAAATTGCTGAAACCGCCTGTATAAATTGATCCCCAAAGTCCATCTTTTTTAAAGTCTTTAATAGAAAATTCCAGTCCACTCTATCAAAGGCCTTCTCCGCATCCAAGAAAACCAGCACTGCAGGGATCTGTTTGTTCTTCTCAAGATATTCCAGTAAATCTATAACTTGCCTTACATTGTCCTTCATATATCTGACTTCTATAAATCCCGCTTGATCATCATGAATCACCTCTTGGATTACTGGCATCAACCTGTTGGCTAATACTTTTGCATATATTTTATAGTCATTATTCAGAAGAGATATTGGTCTAAAATTCTCAGGTTTTTTAGGACCTGATTGCTCTTTTGGTATCAAAGAAATGTAAGCTGTTTTCCATGATGGGGGTATTTTACCCCCTTGTTGTATGTTACAAAATAAATCTATAAGATGTTCAACCATTTCTGCTTGCAAAGTTTTGTAATACACCGCAGTTAAACCATCCGTTCCAGGTAATCCATTGTTGACAACTGCTTTGTCATGAACTGCGTAATCAGAGGTGGTATTTAGCTGGTTCGGACTGGTTCGGGTAAACCGGTAGTGGAAATCGCAGGTGGGCCCACCCTGGCTGTATGAAGTCCTTTTTAGGCATGTTTTTGAGGCCGTGTGCATGCGCTGAAGTGGCATGGGTGCTCATATTTGCGAACCGGTAGGGAAAGTAAGTGGATACCACCCCTGCGTGTAATCCCACAATATGTCAGTCAGGGGAAATAAAGGTGGGGGGTTTTTTGAATTTTTTTTGAATTTTTATTTCTTATACAAATAATGTAAATGTACATTCTCTTATACATCATTAATCATTAATGCTGATGATGTCAGCAGATGGCTGACGAAAGTTTAGTAAAATAAAATTTTTAATTCTCTTAAAATTTTAAAATTTTAAGTTCCGGAGCTCGCAGGATCTCTGCTTCTTTCTTTACTAATATACCTGGAACTCGTATTTTTACAATAGTTTATAATAATTAATCATACATATACATATTTTCTTAAAGAGAGCATACAAATAAGACATTTTTATTGCATTCGGTGTTGCTCTTCTACCCTTTCTTTTCCCTCATTTGACAACAAACTTTCTTCTCCTTCTTCTTTCTTTCCCTTCCCTCCCTCCTCTTCTCTCCTATCTTCCTCCTCCTCTCCTTCCTCTTTCCTATTTCCCCTTCCTTCTCCCCACTCCTCCCCTCTTTTCCCCCCTTCTCTCCTACTTCTCTCCCCTGTCCTTTCTTTCCCTCCTTTCCCCTTTCCTCCCTTCCTCTCACTCCCTCTCCTCTTCATACCCTCAATTCCTCTCTTCTTTCTTTCTTCTTTGTTGTGGAATATATTCGCTCTTTGGTATCCGAGCAACTCCAGTATTCTAATGATATATATTTTCTTTTCAATTTCTTTTCATTTTTACCCAATTTTTATCATTGCAATCAATATTTATCATTTACTTTTATCATTGTAATTGTATATTTATACTTATACTCTTCTTTCATTGCCCCCCTCCCCCTTTTCCATTTTCTCTGGTGTCCTCTAGATTTTTATTTCTTTTTTGATCTCTCCATCATTTACCTTTCTATTATGTCCATCCTTCATCTATCATTTGGGAAATAAAGGTTTGCTGTCTCCATAAACCTTATTATTTATTAATAAAGCAAGCTGAAAAGTTATGGTCATCAGTTGGTTGAGTTGGATTTATTGAAAGCCAATAACTGACCACTAAATACAGCATTCTTCTATTTTTTCCCAGATCCGTGCAACTGCTCCAGAACCTCTGAATGATAAAAGTCAATTCCCTTTTTTCTACCGGATGCTCCCCAAATTAGGGATTCTCTACCCAGGAAGTGTCCAAATACTCCTCCATTTTGGATGGTCTTTGATTGGTCTCTTTGCTTCAGACACAGAGAGTGGAGCGAACTTCATGAGGACTTTGACACCTCTGCTTGTCAGGAATGGGATTTGTATTGTTATATCCCAACTTTTATCAACCCCTGCACGTACAGCAGCCCTCAGGGATGCCATCTCCAAATGGAAACAAGTCAATGTCTTTGTTCACTTTGCAGAATATTTTTTGCTTTTGGACAGAATTCTTCTTTTCCATTCAACACTTCAAGATTTGCCAGAACCCATTGAAGGAAAAGTCTGGCTATATGCAGGCTATGGGGAAATGCAAATGGGAAGACACACATTTCTCAGATATGTCCATAGTGTTTGGAACTATGGTTTTCAGTGGAAAAAAAGGCCAAATGATGGTTCCTTCGAACCAGATTTTTTTTCTGGAACCACAGTTTACAAATCAGTCTTTTCGGTGTTCTTTTTCAAAAGACAACATTTCTGTCAAAGGCCGGACAAGATGCACTCAGACATCCCCACTGAACACCAAAGTGGAAAGGAACAGGATGTGGAACCAGTATAACCGCCATGTTTATGCTATGATGAATACTCTGGCCCATGCCTTGAATGCTGCTTATTCCTCCATATTCAAGAGGAGAAGGAAAGAGGGAGAAGAGAGGCTGGGGACTCGAAGGCTGAAGCCATGGCAGGTATGGGGTCCCGACAAAGATCCATGAAACTTATTTTCTTTGGAGAAGGAATACAAAGAAGGAAGGGAACCATCTCAACCATTTTGTGCTTCAAAAAGCCAACACATTTGACCAACCTAATCACTTGCGGATAATTTTCCAAAGAGCGGGTATCGTGACATATACGTTTTGATATTAAGACAGTGTTAAGTTTACAATGTATGTATGCATTTTTAAATAATTTCCTGTCCTTATGAATTTGCGATTAGCATTTTGGAATTTTATGTTCATAAATTTGAAGGAGTCCCTGAGGCCATCTAGTACAACCCTTCCTATCTGCCAAAATTCCAGTTAAAACTTCTTTAAGTAATGGCTGCTGGATCTTTGCGTTAAAGCAATCAGTGAAGAAGAAACTTGAGCTTCTTCGATTCACTAGATCAGCTCTAAAATTGTTCCTCCTTTTAGGATGTTTTTCATCTCATTCAGCCAGAATCTCTTCTCTTGTGAAGAAGCTCATTTTTACCATGTCCAACACTCTGAGACAGGCCTGCAGGCCAGATCTGGCCTGTGGGGTCTTTTGATCTGGCCTCCGGGGCTGCCCTGGAAATAGTAAAGGACTTGCCCGCAGTACCTCTACCAGTGAAAATGGAGCTCGGGAGGACTGCACATGACCCTCCTGGGCTCCATTTTTGGCAGCAATAGCCTCCTACAGCCCTCTGCCAGCTCCATTTTTGGATCCCCCAGCCCTGCCCAGGCCACCACAAGTGCCACCAACACAAGTTACATCAAGCTGGCCATGCCCACCCTGGCCATCCCACCTGTTCTGTTCCCCAGGCATCTGGCTCCACTGCGAACAAGCAGTTAAACTCTAGCAAACAGGTTTTCATACAGATCATTTATTTGGGTATCCTCAAAATATAGACTTACAGTCATGGTGAGATTCATCCTTATATTTCATAATCTATCCCATTTCCTAGTGTAAAATGATGGTAGATCTGTACCCCTGTTCAGAAAGCATGCTTCTTTCCTCCATGGCAATTCATAATGGCCGGGCTTTGTTCTACACTTCAGGCAGAGAGCCTCAGTGGCCAATCAGACACACAGATGTGGTCACATATCATGGACTACATTTCCCATAATGCAATCTCTCTCTATATCTTCCACAATGCTATCTCTTAAGGAGACAGCTCTTAATTCTTAGGGTAACTAATTCACTATAATTCACCATCTTAACAGCACACCACCCTTGTCCAGCTGCCGCCCCCCCCTCCGAAGTCAAACACAACCCTGATGCAGCCCTCCATGAAATCAAGTTTGACACCCCTGCTCTGGAATACAGTAAACATCTGTTATTTTTCCTTTGAGGAAAGTAAATGCCCTGGAGTTTGATTTGTGAGGGATGCGTTACTTGGAACCTGACATGTAACATCTTTCAGCTATTGGAAGAGTGCTGTATTCTCCTTTCTCCAACCAAGAGATTTTGTCCATTGTAAAAGGTGCTCCCAGATTCCTTCTGATTTTCATCCCCATAGACCAACATGACTCCTCTCCTTGTTGCCTTTCCGCCAAGCTAAGACCAGCTCCTTTGATCTCTTCCTTGATTTCATTGCCCATCTCTAAAGCTGATCCAGTAGTTGTACAATGTCTTCTCAAACGGGGGGTGCCTGCAAGGGAACTTTGTACTTGAGTCAATTTCTCTCCAAACCAGCACATTTACTTCTAATATTTTTATGGATGCATTTGTCTTCTTTCCATGAGCATCACATGGCCAACTCACATTTGGTTTGCAATCTACTATTTTGAGATCATTTCCACAAATATTTACACAGATGTGGACATAGACATAGAATTATAGAGTTGAAATGGACTTTGGAGGTCTTCTACTCTGTTGTGGCCCGTCAGCGGCCTGTGCAGCTAGTAGCTGATTCCGACAGCAAGGAGGCTGGTGCGGTGCTGCCCCAGTAGCCTGTGCAGCTGGCACTCGAGTCAGACAATGAGGAGGCTGGAGAAGATGTGGTGCCAGAGGTGGGGATTCAGCCAGGGCCTTCAGAACCTCCAGAAGCTCCTATAAGTGAAGAGGAAGAAGAGGAGGAGCCTCTTCTCGATGCACGGGCATGCAGAGCTGCCAAAAGGCAGAATTGGCTCCTCAGGAGGAGGTCTCCTTGAGAGTAAGGCTTGGGGCTAATTGGCCATTCCCTTAGCCTATTTAAGGAAGGACAACGTCTGAGGCAATTTGCAGGGAACAACTTCGTTCACTCTCCTTCGTCTTGATCTTAGTTCTCTTATCAGCTTCCTGCAAATTGTTTCTGGGCTTTCTGCCAACCATAGTAAGATTACGATTATTTATTCTTTGGATTCTTGTAGGCTTGTTAAGAAAGTTAATTAACAGCCTTTGTTTGAAAAAGACTGATTTAATTTCGTAAACTAAGGTTTGTACAGACTTTGTGTGTGCTGCGTTCTTTGGGGTCCGTAGCTGGGGCAGAATATAGTCCAACCCCCTACTCAAGCAGGAGACTCTATTCCATTTCAGACATATGGTTTTCCAGTCTCTTTTTGAAAGCCACCAGTGATGGAGCACCTACAACTTTTTTTTTTTTTGCAAAATATTTTTTATTTTTTCCAACATAACAAATAAAATATATCTCTTTTGTGAGCGAAGTCTTGATCTGGTCATAGATAGGTACAATCACTTACATTTTTAAAAACTCCATTCACAATTTCCCATTATATCTTTTAAAATTAATAATCAAAACGTAGAGAAATTTTTAGTCATAAATTCTAATATCTTGATCAGAACCATTCTATTATATCACCATCGATTTAATTTCCAAATACACGTTTAATTCATTGTTATACCCATTTGTAAATTCAATTATTTCTGCTTCTTTTCCAAGCTCTCTTCATTACACCTTTTAACATCAATATTAAAACATTAAAAAAAAGAAAAAAATATTCTAACCTCTTAGTCTAATTATTTACCTTATAATTTCTCACCATACATCTTAATTTCAATTTAACTACAGCTCTATTTTTTACTTCAATTTTTAAATCAAAATTCAATCCATATTTCTTAATCTCTTGACCCCTTCATCAGATCTTTAAACCGTAAATCTTTATCAATTTACCTTTAATTTTACATATTTCATATTATTCAAATTTATCTCAAAATCCATGGATATTCCTCCATATCTCCTCCATATCTCCTCCTTTTGTTGGCTGATTTCCAGCATATTATTGTTTGGCTGATTAACAGCATATTCTCCTCCATACCTCCAGTTTTTGTTTGGCTGATTTCCAGCATGCTTTATTTTGGCTGATTTCCAGCATAGTCACCTCCACCTGTTATTGGCTGATTTCCAGCATATTGTGTTTTGGCTGATTTCCAGCATAATCTCCTCCAAACCTCCCACTATTATTTGGCTGATTTCCAGCATGTTTTATTTTGACTGATTTCCAGCGTATTCTCCTCCGAGTCTCCTTCTCTTATTTGGCTGGTGTTACCAGCATATTTTCCTCCACACCTACATCTGTTATTTTAGCTATTTTCTTTTAACTAATTCACATCATATTACATAGATTGCTTTTTCAACACAATCCCGCAGTTTTGACTCAGCATAAATTTTAACACATATCTTCTCACATATTTTCTCCTGGGTTATAAATTCCCTTTAAAATCATCTCTCTTCATATTTATTTTAAAACTCAAAGATTCATTTAAGCATTTAGAACATTTTTTTAAAAATCATATTCTCCTTCAATCATTTATAGTCTTATTTCATTACCATATATATATATATTTATATAGTCCAATTTAGAATGAATAGAAATAAAGAGTAAAAAAGAAAAAAAAGCAGAAAGGGAGGAAAGAGGGAACGTAGAAATAAAGAGAAAAAAGAAAGTAACAAAAGAAAGAAAAAGATCAGAGAAATAGCAAAGGGAAGGGAAAAAAAGAGGTATAATACCTCATATCAATATTCAAACTTCAAATATGCATTAGGCATTATATTTCCATTTTAATCAAACTGTTATTTTTCTTATCTTGCAACCTACTATATTCCATTTAGTCTTTTTCTAATCTGTCCAAAATTGTTCCTTTTCAATTTCAATATTATCAAAGTTAAAAGTTCTATAAAGTTTAGTTCTTTTGTATCATTCCATATATAATATCATCATCTCTTCTTTTGGTGCCACACCTTTTTTTTTTTCTTTTCTTGCTGCATCTTTTAATTCAATTATAGTTATTCCATTTTATTTCTTCTTTCTTTCCATCAATAATGCTTCCAATAGACAGATTGAGTATCTCCAGAGTCAAAGCTCCTTATTTGTTGCCACAGTAATCCAGTTAAAATAGCAAGACACATAGTTTCTCTTCCAAACTACTAGCAATCCACAATTACACTTTCACTTTGTCACAGTCTCCATTTTGTGTATTGCAAAACTATCCGTTTGTCTTTTCCCTTTCTTTTAGAAAAGTCCTATTTATCGCCTCTTTCCTCTTTCTCTCTTCCAAGAGTAATCCATTCCTGTTTTAAAAAAACAATTTTCAAAGTTTTATAACTTTCCAGAAAGGCAGTCATTCCAAGTCAGACAATAAAATCCATAATTCTTTAGTGGGTCTTTCCCTTTTAAAAAGTATTTTGCAGATCTTCTTGCCCCAATACACCGTAGCCGCTAATTAAGGCTGGGACACACTTGTAAATACCCACAGTTTAAGCACTGTTCCCACCTGGGTTTCATCTCGCTTACCTGGCATCCGAACACCTCGCTCTCTCTCTTCCTTCTTCCTCCAGCACAGTGCTTTCTCCGGTTGGCCCGGGCTTCGAGGCAGCTGCCATGGCTGCCAATCCCCCACTCCCGGCTCAGAGGGCTTCCTGCAGCCCCGAGGAACTTGCCCGTTCCTCTCGGCCATCCAAGGGGTCCCTCTCTCTTCCCCTGTCCCTCCAGGACAGGGTAGGTCCACAGACCTGTCGGCAGCAGCTCGACAGTTGGGGTTTTTGCGGAGCTCGTAAGAGCCCCGCCATTTCCCCAACTGAATTGCCACGGCGCCAACCGGAAGTCAGAGCACCTACAACTTTTGAAGGCTACTTCAGACTAGTATTTCTGCTTTTAACATTCCTGGATATTTTTGTTCTAGTTCCATTCATTTTTGAAGAAGAATGAGTTTTGCAATCTTTCCCACATGAAAATATACTTGGACCAAAATGGTGATGTGGCGGCAGATCTGGACATCATAAGCTTGATAGTTCTCTCCAGGGAGGATCCCATTAACGAGCAACTAGGGGTTTTTATAAGACAGAGAGTTACTATCGATCAAGATGCTATTTCACAGCTAAAGCTGCTCAACAAGGTGAATTAAATATTGGTGTCTTTTCTCTGTTTTCCAAAGCCTTAGGGCACATTTCAAGTAGCTAAGCCTATTCACCAAATAGGCTTCAGTGAAAATTGAATTTGGAGAGTAGAATCCTTCTAATTTTTAAAAAATGTTTTAGGGGGCGTCAACATAATTGGCAAGGTGTCCTTTAGATGCCGTGATATGAAACATGGTTTTAAATTGATTCAGCCATGTCCAACTTGGGATGCTGGGAGATGATGGCTATTTTGTGTCCCCTGTGCAAACTAGTATCTGTATAAAACTGCTGAAAGGGGACATCAAGGGATGGGGATTTTGGTGCTCAGAGCACCAACTTGTCTTCTTTCCTTGCTTAAAATTAGCAAAATAGAATGCAAGTCTTTTGGCCACTACCCACGTTCCTGGTGGAGTGAAAGAGGCAAGGATAACACTAATCAAGACTGGATGCAATTCCTGTTGATACCATTGGGAATTCAGATTTAGTTTGCCATGGTTGGGCAAGCTTATCTTCTTAAACAGGCCATATATGTCAGAATTTTCCATACTTGTCTTTCATGCCATGGGGACAGACGAATAGGCCTTCTGCTCAGCATATTGCCCCCAACAATCTCATCCTTATTTTACCAGTCTCGGAGAGCTGGAAAGCTGAGTTAACCTTGAGATAGTGAGGATCAAACTCCTGGCAGTGGACAGAGTCAACCTGCGATTCTGCCTTCTAATCACTGCACCAAATCCAACCTAATCTGTAACAATGTTTTCCTTTTTATCGTAAATGGAAGGTTGTCCTGGTCCACTTACAAATGGGGGTGAGTTTGCAATGATATATGTCTTCTTCTTGTTGTGCCATATCCGTCATCGGACGTTGGTGATCATGTTGGCCAATGTCCGATGACGAATATGACAGAAGAAGAATGATGATACAATGATACATGTGGTCTAGAGGAAACCTTCCCAGATCCCATTGGCCAGAAGTTTCTTCATCACATTTTTATTCTGTTTCAATAAATCTAGTAAAATAAAATATTCACAAAGCTTTCAGAATAAATTTCATTCTAAATTTTAATATGACTGAAGCATCATACTTTAAACTCATAGATGAAGAAAGGAGGAATGCATGCTAATATAACCGTGTAGAAGAACCACTAATTGTCATTTCATGCTTAAATCTTTTTTCAATTGCTTCTCTACAGAATTTATTAAATAGAAGTGTCCTGTATTACAATGAGATATTCTAGAAGCAAAAGGGAGGAACTAAGTGAAGAATCTGTCGGTAGTTAGATCCCCTGCAACATTCAGAGTTAGTTCAAAATTTCTTATTTACATTATTTACCTTCTTATTTACTTACCCAAGCAACTACTTGACTAATATTCATGTCTACCTCCATTTTTCAATGATGATTATTTCTAACAAACTTCGTTTGGCATTCCTTGTTTTTTCCTTAGTCTCTGCCTCAGTCCAGATGTGTGGAAAATTGTCATCCTGGATTTTTCAAGCGGGCTCGAGAAGGAGAGCCAGTTTGTTGCTATGATTGTGTTCCTTGTCCAGAAGGGACTATCTCCACTCAGGAAGGTGGGTCACACCAGAGGAAAGGGTACTAGATTCATCTAGAGCATTTTGATCAATGTGCATTTTAAAAAAGACACATCGACGGTTGATAGTTTTGTGGTTCTTTATTTTCAAGGTGCCTAATTTCTTCCATAATGGGAGGGATAAGAAAAAGATCTTGAGGGATGAGGTCGGAAGAGATAGAAGGACACAGTGGATTGTGCAAGATCATTTGCCTCAGAGGAAACTTCTCTTTTCTTGTCAGTTTGGAACTGTCCTCACATGTTGACCGTTCTTAGGAACATCTGCATTCTTTGAAATTGAGAAATGGTTGCAGATCAATGGCCTTTGCTCCCCCAAACCAAGTTTATATTACAGCCCAAAAGATATATGAATCAATCAATTCATTAATCAGTCAATCTTTATTAAGATCACGGAACCCCCTAAGCAGAAAGATCTAATTCGGGGAACCATGGAGGGAGAGTGTTTGGGTTCAAGGGATGAGAGAAATACTGTTCTGACCTAGGCTTCCCAAAAGCACGAAGCCAACTCCTCATCCCGATAAAATTCCTTTTATTTAGTTTAAAGTGAATTCATCTCCAGCAAAGTCCCAGCCAATAGTCTTTTAAGAGATTTCACAACTTCAGACCTTTATCAGGCTTGGAGAGCTGCCAGGCCGATATCTTCCAAACGCCATTCTGAAGCAGGCAATACTTGGCAAGAAGTCAGGAACAGATCTTCACTCTAATGAATTGAACTAATTGTCTCCTGCAAACTCCTCTCCCCTTTGCTCCTCTTTATTCCCTATGGGAGGAGCCATTCACCATCCATCTGTGGCTTTACTCCTGAGTTGACCCTTGTTCCTTAGCTGTTCCCTTCTCCTGGCAACTCTGCGCATGCTCACACTGGGAACAGGCTCCGGCTGTTCTTCAGCCCCACTGATGTCCGACTCCGAAGGCAGCTGACAATAGTCAGACGGCCCTGACTCCATCTCTGCCTCTGATGCAGTTGTGGTTCTAAAAGTGGGGGGAGCCTTACTTCCACTATTGGGATTAAAAGGAATCTGAGTGAGAAAAGAAAACCAACTACCATATTTTTCGGAGTATAAGACGCACCTTTCCCCCCCTAAAAGAGGGTGAAAATTTGGGTGTGTCTTATACACTGAATGTAGCCCCACTGAAAAAAGCCTCTTAAAGGGAGGTTTCAGAGGCTGGGAAAAAAAAGCAACGTGCAGAGCTCACAACCAATGAACCTGTTGCTGAAGTTCATCTCTGGGAACAGCTGATTGGAAGTATTCTGGGAGGATGATCCACCCGCCAATCAGCTTTTTTCTTATTTTCCGCCCCAAAAACTAAGGTGTGTCTTATATTCCGGTGCATCTTAGAGTCCAAAAAATACCCTAATCAATTATATTTATTTTGTATGGTGTAAAAGAATACAAAATTATTACATAAAATTAGAAGAAACAGGATATAAAAATGTGTATCAAAATATAAAACACCAGAATGGTGAATTATTTCAACAATGTATAATAGAAATGATAGGTACAATTATGAATAAAATTAAATTATGTATGAACAGTTACCAGAGTGACTAAACCTGTGGCTGGATATCTAGACTGTTTAGCCATTGGGCAACAATGCCCTCAAGATGGTGTATTTAATGCCAAGATCCAGGGAACCTTCTGAGGGGGCATTTTGTCGCAATATGATACTGTATAAAGTTTGTGGGATGTTCCCACAGTCACAGTTAGTATTATCAACCAGCCCCCATTTGTATTTTGAATATTGGCACCTGCCATGCTTGGTCAGTATCATCTGAAATCCAAAGAAGATCTTTCTTGAAAGGTGAAAAGACATATATAAAAAAATATTACTTTTTGTTTTCTCAGATACTGAAAAATGCACAAAGTGCCCATATGATCAATATCCAACCGAGAACAGAGTCCAATGTATCCCAAAAAGAATAACCTTTCTGTCCTATGAAGAGCATCTGGGCATCATCCTGGTCTCTTTTGCCTTACTCTTGTTCCTAATCACAGGATTTATTTTAATCATATTCCTTAAATACCTAGAAACTCCCATTGTCAAAGCCAACAACCGGGACATCTCCTTCATCCTCCTGGTCTCCCTTCTGCTTTGCTTTTTGTCCTCATTTCTCTTCATTGGACAGCCAAGGAAAGCCACCTGTCTTCTCCGACAAACAGTGTTCAGCATTGTCTTCTCAATAGCCGTGTCTTCTGTGTTGGCCAAAACGATCACAGTGGTACTGGCTTTCCTAGCCTCAAAACCAGGGAACAGTGTGAGAAGATGGTTGGGGAAGAGCTTGGCCAACTCCATCATCCTTTCTGGTTCTGCTGGCCAAATTTTCATCTGTGCCTTATGGCTGGGAATTTCTCCCCCATTCCCTGACTCTGACTTAAACTCCCAGCTTGGAGTGATCATCCTGCAATGCAATGAAGGCTCTGTCACCATGTTTTATCTTGTCCTTGGCTACATGTGTTTCCTAGCTGCCATTTGCTTCACTGTAGCTTTCCTAGCCAGGAATCTGCCTGGGGCCTTCAATGAAGCCAAGCTGATCACCTTCAGCATGCTGGTCTTCTGCAGTGTCTGGGTGTCCTTCCTGCCAACTTACCTAAGCACCAAAGGAAAGTCCATGGTGATTGTGCAGGTCTTCTCCATCTTGACCTCCAGTGCTGGTTTGCTGGGCTGCATCTTCTTCCCAAAGTGCTACATTATTACCCTAAGGCCAGATCTAAACACTAAGGAACATCTAATGATAAAAGTAGGGAAATGACTGAAATTGTTAATTGTCATATGTAAATGACTAACCTTGTGATTGATGGATATATATATCTAAAAAATGTAAATATTAATTCCCTTTTCCAATAACCATCCCCTCACAACTCCTCCTTACCTTGACTCCGCCTCCTTAGTATATAAGCCCCATCCCACTCCTTCATCCCTGTGCTCTCTCTCCTGTCATGATACCTGTTAAGATGTTTAATATCAACAATAAATATATTTAATAGAAAAGGAAGGACTTCTATGAGTTATTGGGCTTGATCCTTGAATCTACATAACATATTGGTAGCAGAGGTCGGTTTTATGTCCATAACTCTGAAACATGATTGAAAGCAAAAAGAGAATGAATACCAGAGAATATTCAAAATTAATGGCAGCGCAACTGTCACCACCCGAAACAATCCCAGAGGGAACAACAAACAAAAGAAAACCAGCACCAAATTCCAAAACTATGCCAGAAAACAATGACAGGAGAATCGAAGAAGAGACAGATGCCACAGCAGATTCAAACGAACTAAGAAAAAACATATTAAAAATACTAAACTCACCTACCGACAACAAAGGTCTCATCGAAAACCTTGGACAACTAATTAAACAACACAAAGCCGCAGATGGAGCTCAAAAAATTGAACATGAAGGCCACAGAAACCAGCCCGGTGAGAGACGAACCAAACGACAAAGGCCAGTATGTATCAAATGACAAAGGCCAGGGGTATCAAAATTAATTTCATTGAGGGCCGCATCAGGGCTGTGGTTGACCTCAGGGGGGGGCATTGATTTTAATTAATTAATTTATCAAAATTAAAATTAATTAAAAATTAAAATAAATTAAAATAAATTATTTGATTAAGATCTTGTTTCCTGCTGAATTTTTTGACTGATGTTAATCCTTGCTTATCTGAGTATTGGTTGCTGGAAAAAGGTGTGTGTCAACTTGCAAAGCTTTCAAGTTGGCATGAGTAGGAGGGAGGGAGAACTGAAATGAATTCCATACATTCTTCCTGACCGCAATCAGGAGGAGGGTGTTAGGGTTCACAGCCAGCCAAAGTGGTTAATTGGAGAATGTGATTTATGACATGGCCAGAGAGGAGGGGAGAGACAGGGTCATAGGGGAACGTAAATCTACGTTCAGTCCTAACTGCATCCCAGTATTGCCGGAATGGTGCTCCTAATAAATGACTATATTTCCTTTGAAGTTTGGAACATGGCTCATGAATTAATTAGGGCATCTTCCGGAAACTTGACAGTGTGCTTTGTTTGTTTGTTTGTTGTCTCTTTTGAATGGTGTGTAAATGTGTTTTAGGTCTATGTGTCTACTAACGGCTTTTTAAAAAAAATTGTTTGATTTTTACAACTACCAATCCCAACAAGACTTTAGAAGTAAATATTTGGCTCAAAGGATAGTGCCATTATGAGAACTTTGGCTTTCTAAACTATGGGTTGCACTACCTACATGAAGGGCTTCTAGCAAGAGATGGACTGCACCTCACAAAGGAGGCTTTAAACTAAAGCCATCACATGGGTCACCACAGGTGGAGATATAAAATTGAGTATCATTTGCATACTGATGATACCTCGACCCATGGTGACTGATGATGTAACCCTATGTCTTTATGTAGAAATTACAATGGATAGGATATTGGCAGAGGGACCATAATGGCAATGGCCCCTCTACCAAAGAGATAAAAGAAGGGCAGTGGGAAGAAGATGGCCTTTTAAGGAACAACCCATCTTAGAATCCCAAAGGGAGTTAATAGTTAATAGAGGAATGACAGGTTTCTGACAGGTTTGAGATAGGGAGTTTTTTTTGAGTCTCTGGAGAGTTGTCTGGTTCTTGTAATAATAAAATATCTTGTAATATATCAGAGTTTGTTGCAAAAATCAAATCCAGAAAGCACACACAGGCAGACTGATGCAGACGGATTCATTAACTTCTTTATATACATAACAATTCATGAAGATAAATGTACAATACCAATAGCAGAGTTCTTTCAATGTGGTAGCAAGTAGAGAGATCAGTTAGTTTCATTTCAGCAGAGCAGACAAGCTCAGACAGACTGCTCAGTTTCAGTTTCAATTCTCTGCACACATTCAGAAACTGCAGACTAAGACATGCCCTGGCTCCAGTCTCTCTCAGCTCCCAATTGGCTGACCTAGTGGTTATTCCTCTTCATTGGCTGATCTTGTACCACGTCTCTGCCAGTTTATGAATAATCTGACATAATATAGGATTGGATAGTCTCCGTTCTGAATATTCTAATGTGCTTTATCAATCTCACTCTGCAAATCTCATGAGATGACTCCTGTTGGGAGTAAAATTAGTTAAATAAAATTGTGTCTTAACCACATAGATAATAGTTAAAATGGTCTAATGGATCAACACAGGGGAAGAGATGATCCTTTGACAACACTTTGACTTGATCCTTTGTGTCCAAGATACAAGAGGACTCTCATTGAAGAAAGATTTATTAGAATATTTCTTTCTATTTTACTTTTATCATTAGATGTTCCTTTGTGTTCAGATCTGGTCTTAATAAAATAATGTAGCACTTAGGGATGAAGATACAGCCCAGAAGACCAGCGCTGGAGGCCAAAATGGAGAAGACCTGCACAGCCACCATGTACTTCCCCTTGGTACTGAGATAGGTGGGCACAAAGGAGATCCAGACACTGCAGAAGACCAGCATGCTGAAAGTGATCAGCTTGGCTTCATTGAAGGCTCCAGGGAGGTTCTTGGCCATGAAAGCTACCGTGAAGGAGATGACAGACAAGAAGCCCATGTAGCCAAGAGCAATATAAAACATGGCAACAGATCCTTCATTGCATTGTAATGTGATCTCTCCATGCTGAGAGTGCATATCAGAGTCAGGGAAGGGTGGAGAATTCCACAGCCAAAAAATACAGATGGCAACTTGGACACTGGAACAAGAAAGGATGATGCAGTTGGCCAAGCTCTTCCCAAGCCATCTTCTCATTTTGTTTCCTGGCTTTGTAGCCAAGAAGGCCAGCACCACCATGATCGTTTTGGCCAAGACACAAGAGACAGCAACTGAGAAGATGATGCTGAAGACTGACTGTCGGAGAAGACATGTTGTTTTCCTTGGAGGACCAATGAAGAGGAAGGAGGTTAAGAAAGAAAGAAGGAGGGACAAAAGGATAATATAGGAGAGGTCACGGTTATTGGCCTTGACTATTGGAGTTTCTAGATGTTTAATGAAGATGGCTAATATTACACAGGTAATGAAGGAGAGGAATAGGGTAAAGGAAATCAAAATGATCCCCAATGTTTCTTCATAGGACAGATATGTGGTGACCTTGTGGATACATTGGATTTGTTCCTGATTTGGATACTGATCTTCTGGACACCTCGTGCATTTTTCTGCATCTGAAAAAAAAAAAAGGATATACCCTTTATTGCTTACTCTTGTTTGGCTTAGAGCAGGGGTCTGCAACCTTAAATACTCAAAAGAGCCATTTGGACCCGTTTCCCACAGAAAAGAAAACACCGGGAGCCACAAAACCTGGGTGGGCTTGGCCAACTCAATGTCACTCACTTCCACCAGTCACATGACCCTCTAGTCACGTCTACCCAGCCGGTCATTAGGGCAGAGGACCAGTTGTTAAAAAACACCAGGAACCACAAAATCCTTTTGACATACCTCTCTCTCCCCTCCCTCCCTCTTTCTCTATATCTCTCTATGTCTCTCTCTCTCCCCCTCTCTCTGTATCTCTCTGTCTCTGCCCTGGCCGCTTCTCCCATCCCCCACAGTCGCCCTTACCTTCTCAAGTCAGGCAAGGAGTGATTGGGAGGGGAGGGTGAGGGGTCAGCCAGTGGTGCGATCACCTGACAGGGAGCCACAGCAGAGGGCCCAAAGAGCCTCATGCGGCTCTGGAGCTGCAGGTTGCTGACCCCTGGCTTAGAGCCATCAAAATAGGAAAATTAACATTTTTTTTTTTTAATTTGATTTATATGCCGCCCTTCTCCGGAGACTCAGGGTGGCTTACAGTGCGTTAAGCAATAGCCTTCATACTTTTGTATATTTATACAAAGTCAGCTTATTGCCCCCACAAACTGGGTCCTCATTTAACCTACCTTAGAAAGGATGGAAGGCTGAGTCAACCTTGAGCCTTGGAGAGATTCGAACCAGCAGTAAATTGCAGGCAGCTGTGTTAATAACAGGGTGCTTTAAACCACTGTAGTACCAAGGCTCATTAACATTAACATTAACAATAACATTAACATTAAAAGTGGTTTACACAAGATGGAATAAATCTCCCTAAGACACCGGTGTCAAACATGATGTCAAGTGATCACGTCACTTGACATCATGTAATGTATCATGACGTTTTTGCCTATGCGGAGCCAGGGTGGGTGTGGCTTGCATGTGATGCATCCAGCCACCAGTTTGACACTTGTGCCCTAAGAGGCAATATCATTGGGATAAAGTGATGATGTCCTTGCAAGGGATTGAAATTGGGGTTGACATTTGCTTGCTTTGCATCAGAGCAGCCTTTAAGCTTAACCTGCAGGAAGAGTGCAAAGAAGAGCAACAAAGATGATGAGGGGGCTGGAGGCTAAAATAGATAAAGAACCATTGCAGGAACTGGATATGGCTAGTTTAATGAAAAGAAGGACTAGGGGAGACATGATAGCAGTGTTCCAGTATCTCAGGGGCTGCCACAAAGAAAAGGGAATCAAGCTATTCTCCAAAGCGCTTGAAGGTAGGACAAGAAGCAATGGGTGGAAACTGATCAAGAAGAGAAGCAACTCAGAACTGAGAAATTAGTTTTATGCACAAGCACACAAGCGCACACTTCGCTCGCACGCACCACCTCTGCGCATGCGCAGAGCCTCAAAAATGGGATGTGATTACATCCGGGCAGGTGGGCAGAGCCTCCCGCAGCCGCCGTTACTGGTTTGCCCAATCCAGATAGAACCAGCTGAATACCACCACTG